ACACAGTGGCACAGAAAAATACATCTCCCGAGAGCCTGAGTCAAAAGATCTACCACCCCTTTGTCAAATGCAGAGTCATGATGTGCAAGCTTTCTCCCCAACAAGCTAAGAGTTAATCCACCCATGGAATGGAATGGGCATCAAATTCTGAACCTGTGTTTACTTTTTTGAAATATATAAAGAAACCCAGTGAGCCATCCATCTTTAGAACCAGCCCAATAGGACTCCTTCAGTCATTCAGGGCATTCCTCTAATACCGTGAATTGTTACTCAATGGTGCACCATCAGTTTGTTGGGGATTGGTCAGATCCATTCCTATATTACTTTTACCAAGTTCCACATCTGGAGTATTGCATCCAATTCTGGGCCCCTCACTACAGAAAGGAGGTGGACTCATCGGAGAGGGTCCAGTGGAGGGCAACCAAAATGATTAGGGGGCTGGAGCACATGACATACGAGGAGACGCTGAGGGATTGGACTGGTTTAGTTCGAAGAAGAGAAGAGTGATAGCAGCCTGTAACTACCTAAAGAGAGGTTCCAAGGAGAATGGAGCAAGGCTGCTTTCTGTGGTGACAGATGGCAGAATGAAGAGCAAGGTTCTCAAGTTACAGTGGGGGAGGTCCAAGTTGGACATTAGGAAAAACTATTTCCCAAGGAGGGTGGGGAAGCACTGGAAATGGTTACCTTCGGAGGTGGTGGAATCTCTATCCCTACAGGTTTTTAAGTCCTGGCTTGACAAAGCCCTTTCTGGGTTGATTTAGTTGGGGTTGGTCCTGCTTTGGGCAGGGGGCTGGACTTGATGATTCTTGAGGTCTCTTCCAGCCCTAGGATTCGATGAACATTCACTATGAAAGCCATGCACTCTCTCTGCATTCCAAGTGCTGCTATGGTTCACTCGGTACAATCCTGCAAATTTAAGGCCTGCAAGCACATTTCACAAAACTACCCTATCCTAGGAGACTGCCTTGGTTACAACAATCTTGTGGCCCACTGAGATGGAAGGCCACTCATGCAGCCCACTCACTAGCCTTGCTTATCCATCCCTGATCTATAGATTCCATCTCTTCCAGAATTTTAAGGCAGGGCTGAGCAAAATACAGCCTGCAGGATGTATCCAGCCCACCAAACTGCTGGATCCAGCCTGTGGACACAGCAGTGCACCTCAGGCAGGCTCCGTGCTTGCCCCGCCTCCTCACACAGCTCAGAAAAGCAGTTGTGAGGCTTTGTTTGTCTTTGAACAGCGGTGAGTCTAAGGGAGAGGAGGTTTTGCATGCTGCCACCACCCCCAGCACAATCTCATTGGCCAGTTTTTGGCCAATGGGAGCTGCCTGTTTGGAGAACAAACAGCTCACAAAATACAGGTGATCTCCGCACTTACGACCTAATTGGTTCCTGGAGAACTATCGTAAGTCAAGCCGTTGTAAGTCGAACCCTTATTTCCCACAGGCGCAATGTTATAAATAGCACTTCCGTTCCTGAAAACCCATTTCATACCCTAAAAATACCAAAAATTGACTATGGAAAGGGAGGAAAACTAAACTAAATAGTTCAAATAATGCACAAAAATAACTAAAAAGTGAAGATCCATGTGGTGGAGATGTGCGTAGGTCAAGAAGCTGCTGCAGACTGGTGAGTCTGACTGACGGTGTGCATTTCCTGTTTTGGGAGAACGCGTGGAGTCCATGTCATACACTGTCATAAACGCGACCTGCAGACGTAAATTAGGGGAGGGTTTAGGAGCTATCTCGCATGAAAAAATAGTCGTGAATACAGGGGGTCGTGAGTCGGGGGTCACTTGTACCCCTTTTCCCCTCCCCTCTGTTTATTTTTTAAATACCTGACTCTTTTCTCTGTGGCTTTCATCTGTGAATGAATTTTCAGTGAACATACATTTTATTAGGAAGCACTATAAATATTGTTAACGACAAGCTGACTGACAAAGTTAGACAAAGGAGTGTCCATTCCTCTTTTTTATCAGATTTTTGATGTATTACTCACCCCTTATATTTTAGGAGATTGAAGGACATAAGTGGGGGGACAAGTTCCAAATATTAATAAGTAACTCTGGTATACTTTACACACACATATTAAACACAAAACACAGAGATTATAACCCTTGTGCTTATGAAGATAATCTTCAGAATGTTAATCAAGGCAAACCTGCACTGATTCAACAACCAAGATGACAAATAACAGCACTGAGTGAAGTTCCCCCATTCAGCTCAGTGAGATACAGACTCTGAATTTAAATTTAACATTTTACTGCTTGACACTTGTACTACACAACCCAGCTGGCCCACTGTCACTCAGTGTATCCTATTTATTTGCAAAGAACTAAAACTGCCGACTCTGAAAACTTTAAAACATCTGATATTCTTTCATGCTTCATATGCTTGATATACTTGCTATGGGTTTTAAAAGTGACAAAAAAATGTTTACACTTATGAGCTAACAATGGTGGAATTAGATAAAGCACATGGGATTTTGTAAATCTTCTATTAAATTTAGTTGAGCAGCAGTAACACTTCATTTTAACAACCCAATAAATCTTTCTGAATAAGTTCACGTTTTGCAATGATATCTTGTTCCTTTTGCAATTATATCTTGTTTTGCTTTGTGGGGGAATTCCTTTAAAAAAAACACACACAAACAAAGAAATCCACTGGCAGTTCCTGGGTGATTAACTGCACCTTTCTAAGATATAATAAATGCCAGATAAACTTATGTTATCTCCATCATTACAGAAAGAAGCCTTTATGTTCAGGGTAATGGTAGAAACATGGCATTTCCCCATTTCAATAGGAGTTTGTCAAGGCTGCATCTTATCACCATTATTGTTCAATATCAGTATTCATGGGTTAATGAATAAGCTTGTAGAAGCAGTTGTTGACAACACTACACTGAACACCATCCTATTTTGAGATCTCAGCTACATTAATAAAATAGTGAATCACCATAGGTGATAGCCAATCTAGTTGGGCAAGAAGCAGTATGCATTGGTATGGTTTTTAATCCCCAACTAAGTTCTTGGCCATTACCATTAAGCAGCCCACAATGCTGAATTACTAACAGTTTAATATTAACCTTTTTAGGGGGGGATATCAAACAGACGGCAACTGTCAAACATCTGGGCAAGCCCATATACAGTGCTGGATGATGCTCTAAATACGTGGACACTTATATAGCAGGCAGTTGCTCCGCATTTCTAGCCATTCAATGGCCTCTCTAGAGACATTGTGACATCAACCTTGATCTAAAGCTGTGAATCTATAGAATCATAATTATACCAGCTTTCTAGTAGAGCGGTGCTATGTGTGCTCTGAGGAGGAGTGGATTAATGTTTTCATTTTATCAAATGCTCAAGCAAACTGCTCCTATCAAAGCCGGTTTGGTCTTAGCAGCCATCTTGGTAAAGTCATATTACAGTAAAACGCCGATGGTCCGGCACCTGATGGTCCGGCACCCCTGATGGTCCGGCACCATCAGGAACCCGGAAGTGCTCCAGGCAGCCGGACCATTAGAGCTGCTCTGCCCCCAGCTTCCCCAATTCAGCCGCTGCTAAAACTGACTAGCGGCTGAATCGGGGAAGCCGGAGGCAGAGCTGCTCTGCTCCAGCTTCCTGGAATCAGCCCCTGATCAGTTTCAGCAGCAGCTGACTTGGGTACACCTGGGACAGAGCAGCTGGGGCGCTGCCGGGTTGGTCCAGTAGCGCCGAGGAGCGGCGCTGCGGGACCAACTGACAGCGCCCCAGCTGCTCTGCCCCAGGCGTCTGCAAGAAAAGGCTG